TCATTGTCCAGACGACATTATTCTAAGTTTATTATTTATACAAAAATAGGTTATGATGCGTATAATAGACCTTGTTGGACCCGACCTCAGCTCGCTCGACCTTGTTGGACCCAAACTCGAAGTTATTGGCTCGACCTTAGTCCATTGTTATTGGGTTATTTCTAAGTCCGGGCTTACTTGAGGTCGGGCCCCCGTTACTAGGTCGGGTCATTAGCCCTAGCTCACATATCCCCTCTGATCTTATCGCACGTTTTCTAGGAATGCTAGTACTATTTAAATACAAACTCCTAGCTTATTATAAATTTAACCTTAACTCATATTGTGCACTTTTAACACAACACAAACACCTTAAATAACAAGGATAAGGATTGCATGAAGTTGAATCCTTTTAGGACTCCATCTCCAACACCTATAAATACATAACATATCCTCATTATTCAGGTACGTTTTTTTATAGCATTTAGTATAAGTTTTCTCTTGAGCACCTATCTGACTTAAGCATCAGAGGGGCAACGAGGACACACATCGACGCCTTTGTTTCAGGTATTGAAGATCGAATCTCGCGGAGCTCTTCCATTCGACTCAGGTTTGTCCAAGTACAATTTTTGGTAGCATCATTAGCCCCGTCTGTGGGAACGCTTCTAGAAGCCATGGTTAACACACGTTCATGACATCTTCCAGCAACTTCATCCGCTTCGAACTAACCCCCTACTAGAGATCTCCCAGCTCCCAAAGAAGTATCATCTGGGGAACCACCAGCCACATTCGAGGAACTTCGCCAACAAGCAACCACGTTAACACAGTTGTTGCATCAGAGAAGTACACCCCCGGTCCCATCTCCACAGAGTGACCTTATGGCAGATGTTCGGGCTCGAGGCCCCAGCCACGGTGATGCCGAAACCTTGGGTGTACCTCACACACCTCTAGGTTCGCGAGCGGTTATAATGGACTCTACTGATCTTGCAAGGACTATCCAGGAGGGAATCACAATCGGAATGCTTCAGAAGTCCCAAGCAGCAACAGGATTCACCCCTAACAAGCCTTTTACCCTTGAAGTATTATCATACCCTCTACCGGATCGATTTAAGTACCCTCGGGTGAAGGAGTATGATGGGACGACTGACCCCATCAACCATCTCAACATATACACGGATATCATGAACTTGCAGGTCGCACCTGATACTGTAATGTGCAAGAAATTTCCTCAAACACTTACCAACGTAGCCAGAGACTGGTTCTCCACATTGGAGCCTAACTCTATATCTTCCTTTTCGGACCTGGTTGACAAGTTCTTCGCATTTTTTGCAAGTAGTAAACGCATCAGGAAGACAGCCGCGTCACTCATGTAGATGCGTCAGGGACCCAATGAGACACTTCGAAATTTCATGACAATGTTTAATAAGGAAAGACTCATGATCCCCGATCTACACAACACATCTGCAGTCTCTACCCTAACATATGTCGTAAGATGTGAGACGTTTAAGACGTCCCTGTCAAAGACCCTTCCCAAGTCGATAACCGACCTACTTACCCGAGCTGAGAAATACATCAACATGGAGGAGACCATGTTCCCAACAAGAGAGACCTTGCCATTAAAGAAGCCTGACCTAAAGAGGCCACATGAGTCCAACCAGCACCCGGACCCTTTCCGAAGCAAACCAAGGCCAGACCCTCCTCCAACACCTTTCACTCACTTGAACACCACGAGGTCTAACATTTTGATAGAAATCAAAGATCTTAAGGAGTTGAAGTGGCCACCAAGACTACGAGCTCCACCTGAGGCCAGTGACAAAAGCAAGTACTGTGACTTTCATCGAGGTCATGGACATACGATCGAAGGATGCTTCGCTCTGAATCGTGAAATCGAGACTCTCATCAAGAGGGGGTTCTTAAGCACATACGTCAGTCAAGACAAGCGTCAGCGGAACAACCAGAATAGGGGTAAGGGTCCCGAAGATATGGGGTAAACTACCAACAGCAGTGACTATCAATATCATTGTCGAAGGAATGGCATCGGGAGGGGACTCGACTAGTGGACATAAGCAGTATGCCAGGTAATACCACTCGATCTCAAGCTTGGATCTCAATGATGTGGGAGACATCACCTTCGGGTCAAAGGACTTAAGGGCGTGTCTTTTCCTCATGATGATGCCCTAGTCATATCGACGATCATTGCAAATTTTGAGGTAAGAAGAATTCTGATGGATAATGGAAGGGCGGCTAACGTACTGTTACACGAGGCTTTCGTCCAGATGAGTATATCAGTTGAGCAGTTCAGGCAAATCAAAACCTTCATTCAGGGTTTCGGAGGTCATGTCGTCATTTCGGAAGGCATTGTTGGGTTATCTCTTGCTTTGGGATCAGAAGGGAATTAAGTTACGCATATCACAACATTTCAAGTAGTTTGTGCTCCCATGACCTACAACGCCATACTTGGAAGGACTTTGTTGAACAGAATCAAGGCGATTGTCTCAACTTTTCACCTGGCAGTGAAGTTTCCTATTAGCAATAGGGTCGGTGTAGTTCGAGGAAGCCAAACAGTGGCTAGGCAAGGTTACGTTACCAAAGTCCGGGAGATCAAGGCTGACGTCATGCGACTTTCGGAGGTCGAGCCTAGCCTCGAGCACCGTGGAAGGCTTGCTCCAGTAGAGGAGATGGATGAGGTCGTGCTCGAGCATGGTGGAAAAGTTACCATTGGTCAAGATTTTGATGCTACAACCACAGCCGAAAAATAGTCGTCTACGCCCCCAGGTATCTAGATTACTTAGTTTTTTGTCTTTTCTTTTTTCTCAATCTGCATTATGTTAGGATTAAATTCTTTTGGTAGTTTTTAGCTCGGGCTTGCATGCCCCTAAGTTGTTTTTCTTTCAAGGCCTACGCGCCCATGTACCGTTACGTTATTTTATAAGACATTTAAAAACTCACATCGAACGCATCTACTAAGAGTTTACATTAAATTAGCGTAAGGTCGTGCTCCACGCATGCAGCTAACACTTTAAACTGGCATAAGGTCGTACTCTGCGTATGCAGCTAACACATTAAATTAGCGTAGGTCGTGCTCCGCGCATGCAGCTAACACATTAAATTAGGGTCTGTTTGATAGCCTAGAAAATGGGTGGAAAAGGAAAATATTTTCTAACTTTAGCCAATTAAGGGTGTTTGATAGCACAAATTTTCCTGACAAAATGTTTTCCACCTTTTTCTAGGTACAATCATCTGATACACAAAAACTTGATTTTGTTTTCCCGCCTATTTGGTGGGAAAATATTTTCCACCTTTTTTTTTTTGCTTTTTTTTCTTTGCAATGGGAACAAATTCTAGATACAATGGTAAAAAAAATTTCACTTTTATTGACAACTTCCATACAAAACAAAGTCAAACGAATGATATTCGGTATGGTAAATTCTTTTTTTACAATTGAAACAAATTTTAGACCAACGGTAGAAAAAATTATCACTTTAATGAACAAATTTCATAAAAAAG